TGTCTTTTTTAAGTTTGGCTATCTACTCCTTGTCACGTCTTACAATCAACATGTCATCCACATACAACAACAAAATAATAAAATTGTTGTCAGAGAACTTTTTGAAGCATGGATCTGAAAGAGTTCTCTTGTATACTTGACTCTTCATGAATGAGTCAAACTTCTTATACCACTATCTTAGTACTTGCTTTAATCCATACAAACTTTTATTCAATTTACACACCATGTGTTCTTTCCCCTTGAATTTGAATCTTTCTCGCTGTTCCATGTAGATTTTTTCTTCCAAATCTTCATGAAGAAATACAGTTTTAATGTCCAACTGCTCTAATTCAATATTTTGGCCAAACTACTAAGCTTAGAATAGTTCGGATGGAGGTCATTTTTACAACTGGTGAAAAACTTCCATCAAAGTCAATTCCTTTCTTCTGTCTGAACCCTTTGACCATTAGCCTAACTTTGTGTTTGACTAGCTTACCATTTCCATCTTTCTTCAATTTAAAGACCCATTTGCATTTGAGTGATCTTTTACCATTTGGAAGTTTAGCTAGCTTGTACGTGCCATTTTTCCATAAAGAGCCTATTTTTTCTTTTAAGACTTCCATCCATTTGTCTTTCTCTGGATGAGTCAATACATCTTGAAAATTCTCTACCTCCCTTTCATTAGTAATAAGGACATACTCAGAAGATAAAACTTGGATGATGGTTTCTTTTCTCGTTTAGATGGCTTGAGAGATTGTACAATTACTTCTAGTGGGGTGGGTTGCTCCCCCTGTTCCTCAACCTCATCATCTTCTTCTAGTATGGCATTTTCTCCATCTATGACATGATTTGATGGAGATGGAATGGTGATCTCATGCGAAATCTTACCATTTTCTTCTTTGGCCTTCTTATTTTGGTTATCAACTCCAAAGTTATTTTCATGGATAACCACATCTTTACTCCTAATAATCTTCTTCTTCTTTGGGTCCCATAGCCTATAGCCGAAGTCTTCATCTCTATTCCAATGAAGATGTAGAGAATAGCTTTATTGCCAAGTTTCGATCTTTGCTCCTTTGGCACATGGACAAAAACTTTGCAATCGAACGATTTGATATGAGTGTACGGTACTTCTTTACCTCTTCACACTTGTTCAGAGATATCGATCCCCGATAGAACTAATGGACTTCTATTGATGATATAGCAAGTTGCACGTGTTGCTTCACCCTAGAATGACTTAGCAGTTTCGCCATTCTGAGTGTGCTTCTCACTTTTTCAACAATAGCGTGATTCATTCTTTCGGTTACACCATTGTGTTGTGGGGTTCCGGGAACAGTCTTTTCATGTTTGATCCCATGGCTAGAGTAATAGTTTTCAAACTCTCTTGAAGTATATTCTCCACCATTATCAGTTCGAAGACATTTTAGCTTTTGGCCTGTTTCCCTTTTCACCATTGTATGAAATATTTGAAATGTTTAGAATGCCTAGTCTTTGATTTTCAATAGATACATCCATAACTTTCTTGATACATCATCAATAAAAGTAATAAATTATTTATTTTCTCCTATCGATTCAACCTTCATAGGACCACATACGTTAGAATATACCACATCCAGTATATTTAACTTTTTATCGGAGTTTTCTGAAATGATACCCTATGTTGCTTGCCCAATAAGTAATGACCACAGGGTTTAAGTGATGCACCTTTCGCCAAGGAGATAAGTGACTTTTTTGTCAAGATCTACGATTGTTTTTCACTCATGTGTGCCAATCTCCGGTGCCACAAGTTTGGAGATTGTTCTCCTTTAGCTACATTTACCCAATCATAACAAATTTTAACATTTGTCTTGTACAGTGTATTGGATGCTCTTTCTTTTGTCATCACCAACGATTCTTTGGTGAGTGTCCACGTTTTATTGGTGAAGCGGTTGGCATATCTTTTATGATCTAAGACAATTCTTGATATCAGATTCATCTGCATATCAGGAATATGTCGAACATTCCTTAGAACTAGCATGTATCCAACATTTGTCTTGACACAAATATCACAAATTCCCATGATCTTGGAGAAGTAGGTGTTTCCCATTCTCACTATACCAAAATCTCCTGCTTCGTACGTGTAGAATAAATCTTTGACTGAAGTGAGATGATAAAATGTCATTGTATCAATTGTCCATTCTAAATTAGATGTAGACACGTACATCACTCTTCTTTTCATTCATGACGACAGTCACAAAATTGTCATTCTGTACTATTGCGGTTGTATTTCTATCGTCACCTTTCTTCCTCCCTTCGCTTTGGTGGGTGTGAATAATTCTTTTTAAGGTGATCTTGTTGGCCACAATTCCAATAGCCTATGTCTCGTGATTTGGACCTTCTTTTGGATTTGCCATGCCATTTGCTTAGATTTCCTTCTAGATTCCTTCTAAAAAGGTGAAACTAATATTTTTTTATGTGTTTTTACTTTTAGATTCGCATATTATTACTCACTGAGATATAGTCTCACCCCTTATTTTTCCCCACCCTCAGATTTTCGCATTGATTTTGGAGTCATCCTCCCCACTAAGTCTGGGCATACTTCCGGTGAGTCTCACACGGTTGAGCTTGCATGTGGGCTTTTCTTTTGCATATCTGTTTTGCTTGCAACGTATGTATATTTTGAGTAGTAGTAGTCTAGGTTATTCTGGATTGCCACGGATAGGAATTTTGTACTTATCTTAGATTGTTTATATCTTGTATTAGATCAGACTTTATGTACGTAGTCTAGTTGTTGTTCAGAAGGTTAGAATTCGATTTTTTTGCTTGTGATTGAGTAGATGTAAAGTATGGCTTATTACCTTGTATTTATGTATATTAATTGCCTGGGGTCGCTGTTAGAATTTATAAATGGTATTTTCCATAGATTGAAATTTCCGATATGTCCTATTTTTAGGAGAGGTTCTGCCAAAATTTTCTAAAAATTTCACACTTAGAATCTGCTCGGTCGAGTTTTTTGAGGCTGACTAGGGTGGATAGGCCTACCCTAGTGTCGGTCACATGCCCCCTAGCTTGGGTCGTGACACATTCCATCGAAAGAAATAAGCTGTTCAAAAGCCCAAAAACTAGAAAATGCTGGTCGGCCCTCTATGCCCTCTGTCAACCAAAAAGTTTATAGATTTCTCACAATCTTTCACTCAATCTTTGAAATTGGTTGAGGGGTTTGGTTTGTTTCTCTTAAACGCATGAAATGCCTCGATTTTCAATGGAAATCATTACCAAATTCATGTGAAATCATGGCTTGAACAGTTCGATCCACTGTTGGATCGAGCCTGTCAGATCCAATTTCACTCTGACTCCCAAATTTTTATTACTTTCAATTTAACTCTAATGAACTCTAATTAAGTCCTTGGCCAACACATTTCTTGCTTTAACAATTAAACCTCCATGTCTCAAAATCTTTGCAACTAACCCCCTTTAAAAATTCATATTAGCCCCAAAAACTTCAATTCTTATCAATTAAACCCTCTAATCATGATTACTTAACTAATTTCCCAAACACAATTAATCAGGTTATTATATTTTTAAATACAAATATTTATAATAAAATCTAATCTATAAATATCTTAATAGTTTTTAATTCTAAAATTCAAATCAAATTTAGATGAATTCACACTAAACTCCACTTCATTGACAAGTATATGATAATGTATATTTTATATTGATTAAGAATTATATATATCCCTCTTTAAAAATATAAATTTAATACATAATATTTAACAAAATTCTTGGAAAAAATTAACAAAATTATTCCGTCCGGACGTGTGTCTCTAGTTGTTTAACCCGTAGATCATTTTTCTGCAGGGAGTTTCAATATTTTTATTTTGTATTACGACTAGCAATTTGGGAATAAAAAAAAAATTAATACACAAAAGAATTCAAATACTTTTAATACAGACGAGCAGTTGTTCAGTCAAAATAGACCTCACCATTCCCGTTAGCCTTTCTCTGTCCCCGTCCGAAGTCACTAAAACTTGAACCACGTAAGCCTGAGATGGGGAACGACGGCGCCGGAGAAGATTCCCACCCCCACCACGCTGTCCAGATCTGGGAAGTAAAGCCGGACCGGCTCGCCGCGATGCATGAGAAAATCTCAGCCACGCCGAAGATGCTGAGCAAGTGGGCCGGCCACCCCTCGTGCTCCATCTTCCGTGTTCCGCAGAGCCTGATCGACATCAACGGCCGGTCCTATCACCCGCACATCGTTTCCATCGGCCCCTACCACCACGGCCAGCCCCACCTCCAGATGATCCAGGAGCACAAGTGGCGGTTCCTCGCTGCGCTATTACGTCGAACACAGGGCAGGGGTTTAGAACTTGAAGACTATTTGAAGGCCATTTACCCTCTGGAGCCCAAGGTCAGAGAGTGCTATTCGGAAATTATCCATCTAACCGCCGATGAGTTCACCGAGCTGCTCGTCCTCGACGGCTGCTTCATTATTGAGTTGTTTCGGAAGTACGGAAAAGTGGTTCCGGTCGAACCCGGCGACCCATTGACTTCCATGTCCTGGGTATATTCGTTTTTCTTGAGGACTTGATTCGGATCGAGAACCAGATTCCGTATTTTATTCTGCAGGTAGAGCTACCGCTTAATGTTTTCAACAGTATAATTTGTTTCTAATTCAACTTCGAATTTACTTGAACTAATGTTGTATACGACGGTCCATGTTATCGCCTCTGTCTATAGGAACTGTTCGATTTAACGAGAATGCCAGGGGAAGAGTCCGGCCCATCCCTGTCGGACCTCGCGCTCGGCTTCTTCAACAACACCCTGCAGAGGCCGGATGAAGTGATCGAAAAATATCGTCACCTCGACGCCCGCATCTCCTCGACTTCCTCCGCTCGTCCTTCATCCCCCTTAACCAGCCGGAACCGAGCAAATCGGGGTCAACCCGGGTGATCCAATGCATCTCGAAGCTCCGGCGAGCAGGGATAAAGCTCAGGCCCAACAAAGCCGAGAGCTTCCTGACAGTCCGATTCCGGCGCGGCATGATCGAGATGCCCACGGTGTCCATCGACGACTTCTCCAGTTGCTTCATGATCAATTGCGTCGCGTACGAGCAGTGCCGGAAGAATTGCTCGACCCACTTCACCACCTACGCGACGCTGATGGATTGCCTCATCAACACGGCCAGGGACGTGGAATACCTGTCAGACTGTTCGATTATCGAGAACTACTTCGGCACCGAGGCAGAGGTGGCTCACTTCATCAACAATCTGGGGAAAGACGTGACATTCGACATCGATAAGTGCTATTTAGCGAGATTGTTTGACGAAGTGAACGAGTATTACAAGAACGGGTGGCATGTGCAGTGGGCGGGGTTCAGGTACAGATATTTTCGGAGTCCCTGGTCGTTCATCTCTGCTTTAGCGGCGTTTGTTCTGCTGGTGCTTTCGGTGTTGCAGACATACTACACCATGATTGGGTATCTTCGTCCTCCTGGTCCCTCAGGAAACTAATTTTCATTTATTTATTTATTTTAAAATTTTTAGTGGCTATGCGTACATAACATGTTATACACATAAAAGAAGATTAAAGTTAACCCTGTATATATTATTTTGTAATTAAATATGATAATTTTTGCAAACGAAATTTCAACAATTCAACTCATATATTGACCTGAAACTGGTAGTTGGGAATTGTCTCCATTTTGTACAACTAGTGGTTGGATTTGAAATGTAGATGGTCTTACTCTTTTGCATTTTTGAGGGAGGTTGGGCTTGTTTGGGTTGGGAGAGTTAGAATCTGAATGATTCTTGCAGAGGGCTTTTAGCTTGAGAGACCCAAAGCTAGTTTTTACAATAAAAATTAAACATTTTTTAAATTTTAAAATAATATTTAGCAACTTAATTTTTTTAAAAATTATATAATTGACTGAATAGGTCAATGGTATTAAAATTTATTAAATCAATATTAGATATAATTACCGATACTGATTTTAATTTAATAAATGTTAAAATTACTGAATTAGTGGCGAGGCACTTGATATCAAATTTCAAAATTGTTAATAAAACAAACTTCTAACAAGAAGACATGAACGTAGTCACAGCATTGGGTTGATTCTCTGAACCGTTTCCACGGTTCAGTTCAGGTAAATCATCGCTGTGAAAAAGGCATTCACTCAGAAATTAATTACCACATTGCAGAACCATTATTTTGATAAAGAAAATTTGGATGCAGATGAAATACATCAAATACTGGTGAGGACAGCGAGAAGTTTAGGGTATATGATTTGTACCCGTGCCAAAGCTTAATCCAAGCGTGTTCAGAGGTTTATTTGGGTAAATTACACTCCCATTTTATATTTTGATTCAGATGTCATTTTATGTTGTAAGCTTGAAACTGTAATAGTAAAATCAATATTCTGCTTCAAGCTGTAATAGTAAAATCAATATTCTATTTACTATCTAAATCTCAATTAAGTGCTACCCACATAATTTGTACAACTCAGAAAGTATAGCGTTTATATTTAGTTTTAAAAACAAACATAAACCAATTTTGAGTGGACTCACTTTTATTTTGGGTAAAACTAATTAAAGTTAATGGGAATTATCAGGAAAGAAATTTGAAGGGAATTTTTATCGTGTCAAATTGAGTGAGTTTGATATTGGATATACATCTAGTGACGTAATACATTTAGATAATATATAATATGATTGAATTTTATTGAGAGAATAAAAATGAAGATTTAAAAAAAATATATTTGATTTTGAAATAGAAAACCTCCTCGGGTATGAAATAAGGATTTTATAAAATAAGGTAATATAGATGACCATTTTATCACCTGGTTCTATTGTTATTATAGCACCCTTTATTTATTTTAATAAATAAAAAAATATCTTTTATATTAAAAATTATAAGTATTTATAATTACATATTACATTACATGTATATTATTATTATATAATAAATTATATACTATACTATGTTATATATATTATGTTATGTATATTATATAATTTATTATATATAACTTTATGCATATATATATAAAGTAAAATTTAATATTTTAACGTTAAAATGTAAAATTTTAAATCTTTTAACTTTTTAATATGTTTATAATAAATTAAAAAATTTTAATTTATAAATCTTTTTAACAAAAGTATTTTTTATGTAAATGATTTTTTTATTTCCCTTCTTTCTTGTATTCTAACAAATCAAATAAATGAAAAAAATAAAATTCTCATTTTATTTATGTGTACCAATTATGTTTAAAATAGTTTTTATTCAATTTTGTTCCTATTTTTACTTTTATTTTTATTCTATAAAAATAATTCTATCTATTATACGTTATTTTAATATTATTTAAATGTGTAAAATAATTTAAAAAATATTAAGTGTACTATTTTACTGTAATTTATATTGAATAAACTGCCAAATTGTCTATTAATTTTCAACTTGGCTTATTTGCTAATGAGTTATGTCCCTTTCACCCGTCCTTAATTTTAAATACAGACCCAAAATTACAGCTGTACTGTTGAAGATATTATGAAGCCACTTGTTCAAATAGAAAATTCAAAATGGATGAGGTGTCCTCTTGATTACCGAGCTAGCTGGCCGACAATATCTGATTTTGTTTTTTTGATTTTTGACAGTGACATAATTAATAGTGACTCATGCTCAGAGTATTCAAGGTGATGTGTTGGCCTGGTTTTTCTAATAATAAATGAATAAATAAAGTATAAATCAAGGGCAACCCACTCAATTTCCAACTTTATTTTAAAATAGCGGCGAAGATAATTGAAGCTGCAAGTCAAGGGAGCAGAACCCAGCTAAGCGGTTTCGTGTAATAGGTGCAGAGACACGTGTAACACGTATGGGCGAGCATAAAGCTGCTCAACCCAATCCGTCCGTCCGCTCCGCCTGAACCCGCCCGCTGCTCATCATTTTAATTTAATATTTTTCTTAACAGTTCACAATTTTGCAATTCGTTCGTTACGTGATTAAGTCAAGGATTAAAATTAAAAAAATCTGCTGTCACCCCGCTTATTTGCTAATATATATTTATATATATAATATTTATTTATTACTATCATTTATTCTCTCTCATTTTTAATTTTTATCGTCTACTAACTCACACGTTAAAGTGTTAAAAGTTAGAAAGCAAATTTTTTATTGAAAAAAAAAACTTAATATTAAAAGAAATAGAATAATAGTTTAAAAATTTTTAAAATAAAAAATTCCTTGTTCTATTTATATAAATGTAATAAATTAAAATAAAAATATAATGAATAATATACTTGCTTATTATTAGAAAAATATTATAATAATAATATATTTGTTCTCGAAATTTGTAATCTTTTTTTTTGTATTAGAAGTGATTATACAAATATACTTAAAAGAAGGCATACTTAAATTTTTCTTTTGGTTTTTTCACTTTATGTGGGAATTTTTTTTGGCTTGATTAATATTTTCTTTTAATTTAACATAACTGCAATAATTTCTTTTTTTTGTTAACTTAATTAAGCATATTAATTGGAAGTGATTATACAGATTTTACTTTCATTTTCTTTTGATTTGAATTGATTTTATGAAGCAAATGTCTTGTTTTTACACTATTTGATTCTTAACTTTGAATATAGTAGTATGTGGTATACAATTATATTAGTTTTTATTAGATTCATTTTCTCTAAATTATATTCTTATTAAGTTTTATCTCTAGTATACCAGCCGTATAGGCGTGAACTTTAAATTTTATTAATATTAAAATATTAATTCTAGTATTGATATGATCTCTAATTTAGTAAATTAGTATCTCGCATTAAATAAACCAGGCCCGTACAGGCGTGAACTTTAAATTTTGATCTATGAATAAATTGACTTTCCTACCAATAGTTACTTCTAATTTATCAAAGAATAAAAGCAACTATTGACAATTATAAAGTAGCTTATTTTAACCCTAGTAAATCGGCTTAGAAGAGTAGGAAGGGAAATTGGTGATGTACTGGATGTTGACTTTCCGGAATTGGGAGGGAAAGTAGGAAGATGTATTAGAATAATGGTGGACTTTAATGTTTCTTTACCATTAAGAAGGGGAATGAATGCTCTATTAGATCTTTAGATCACAATGATAAGTGCAGGATAGAGTTTAGGTCTGAAAAATTAGTATTTTATTCATATCCGACACATACTTATATACATTTTACTTTTTTATAATCAAGTATGAATACTAAAAAATGAGAATTAGAATGAGTTTGTTGATTTTATGAAAATTTTTTTTGGAGTACGGAGATAGAAATAGGGATAGAAATTATATAATATCTAGCTCATTCTATATTTGGTATAATTTATTATATATTACAATTATGTAATATAAAGCTCACCCCCTATTTAGTATAATATATTATATATATTATACATTAAAAATATATTTAAAAACTATGTACTAAAATTTTATATTCAAAAACTAAATATATTAATAAATATATTTAATATATTATAAAAATATATTTTTTAAAAAATTAATTATATTCGAATAAGTATATAAGTGTGGAATCGGTATAACCTTATATGATAGTAATAGGGTCAATGACAGGACGTGATTTAAAATTAATAACATGTTGGATATAGAAATGGGTACAGGGACAGATTTTCTAGCAGGATATAGGACATGGATGCATTATTAACCGCCCATACCCGTCCCGTTGCCATTCTTAAAGATTTCCCAAGTTCAGTAAAAAGTTTGGAGTATCAAAATGGGGATTGGTTAAAAGCCACTTTCTTGAAGCAGAAAGGATTGAGGGGAAAATATAGTCATAAACAGGAGATGGTTGAGGGAAGAGTCTCTGATGCTAAAGAGGAAGTCAAGAAACAGAAAATAGTTGCAGTAACAAAGAAGCAAAGAAAATATAGTAGATTCAGATAAGGAAGAGGAAAGCATGGACAGATGCGAAGGACAAGGACATAGCAAAGGATGACGTGGAGGTTGATTTGGACAATTCAATTGAGCACGGGTCTTATGTGGCAAGGGTTGTAATAGCTGAAGACCAGGTGGCTGAATTTGTTGGAAGCAAGGGAGAAAAGTTGAGAAGATGCTCAGGTTGCAGGGGCTTGAAGCAGTTGGTTAAAGGACCATATTACCACATGAATACACGCCGCGGGGGGGGGGGGGGGGGGGGGGGGGGTGGTGGGGGGGTGTGGGTGATGAGCAAAACGGGAGGGAAGTTCTTCTGTCTGATCATTCTCCCTTCTCTATTCCGTAATTGCTCTGTTTTGTTCTAGAATGTCGCGGGTGAGAAATTAAATTCGTGAGTATTGTTTGGATTAGAATAAATTATAACCTCATAAGTTTAACAGAAAATTCAGAAATTTAACTGAACAAAAAATTTGATGTAAAACTAAACAAAATGTATTTCTAATGATAATAACTGATCTATTAACATATCGTAGAAAAATTTGTTTACAATTACATGAAGCCTTTAAAAGCCCAGGAAATACAAAGTTTGATAGAACCATAATA